TAAGGAAGCTGCAGGCCATGGGCCACCTGAGGCAGAGAGGCCACCACAGCCACCTGCCGTACAGGGCACCAGCCTGGCCTTCCTGCCACCAGGCCGATGTCCACATAGCATTCTCACAACCACGGACACTGATGGCGATAGTGATGCCAGGCTCTGTTCGGACCCTGGAGTGCAGAGCCCTGAGGTGGTCAGCCTCTGCCCTGCGCCCTGGTGGCTGGGGGATGCGATGTCCCCTCACTCTCTACAGACCAGGCAGCCCCCAACCTGAGAGCTGGGGAGCCCATCAAGGAGAGGCAGGAAGTAGCCCTGGCACCGCTGATCTTGCTGGCTCTGAGAAGCAGATGGACACCCGGTCTATCTGCCTGGGGCAGGCTGACCCCAACAGCGCTCTCCTCACTCACTTGCGACAGGGCGTAAGTGAGGGGTGCATGGCGGCAGAGTGTGTATGTGTGTGTGTGTGTGTGTGTGTGTGTGTGTGTTTGTTTAGTCCACACCAAGTCCACAAGCCCTATCCCATCTCAGACCATCCGAGTCACAATTAACAGAGCTCCAGTGCCTGAAACCGCTAGGGCACCACGAAGACTCACTCCAAGGACACTTTTCAGCCACAAAACATCACAGGGGGAAGAGGGAGGGGGAAGATAGGTCTGCAGGTACAGCCTTTGCCTTGCACTTGTCTTGCATGTGGCTGACCCAGGTTTGCCCCCCGGCACCCCATCATAGTTCCCTTGAACATCTCCAGGAGTGATTCCTGAGTGCAAAGCCAGGAGTAAGCCCTGAGCACACAAACCCAAAACAAAAAGCAAAACCCAAGCCAACATCCGAGTGCACCCTACTCCACGCTGTCCTGTCTGGAAAGGCAGGAGGAATATGGGGGTGTTGAAGCCCACCCTCCTGTCCAGTCCCCCGTCACTTGTGTGACCACCCCTGCAGGCCCACACCTTCCCCAGAACCTAGCTGCCAGCACCCGCCACTCACAGCAGCACCCAAACTCAGGCCTGCTCTGCCTCTAAGTACACCAAGCACCTCTCCATGTCACCAGAGAAGTCTGGGAACCAGTGGGCATGAGTTGGGTGGGATGGCGGGGGATGGGGGGAGGCAGAGGGCTGTGAGCACTTCCCAAATCAGACTGAGTCTGGGAGATGGGCACAGGAATCGTGGGGAGGGGGGCCAAGTGGAGAAGCCAGGTGGACATGCGACACTCAGGGATTCGGGGGAATCCATGCCACAAGAACCTCCACTCCCCCCCACCCCACCCCAGCTCCACCTGGGCCCAGCACCTGCTCTCAGCTGACGCCACCACCCCACTCTGCCCCCACCACCTCTTTCTCCTCAACACCCCATATGTGAGTAAGCTCAGGAAACAGTCTCTCGGTGCCAACCTGCTTCCCCCCACCTCAGCGCTCACTACTCAGACACGAACCACCCCACCCCTGACAAGGGGTGGGAGATAGAGACTTAATGGGGTTGGACATGCACTTTGCATGTAGGAGGAGACCCTGGTTCGAGTCCAGCACTGCCTGGTTCTCTGAGCACTTCCAGGAACAAGCCCTGAGCACAGAGGCAGGAGTAGCCCCTGAGCACTGCTAGGTATGACCCCAGAACAACAACAAGCTCAAGAAAGAACTTCCTTGGAGCTAGAGAGATAGTAAGTACAGCATATGAGGAGCTTGCCTTGCAAACAGCCGACCAGATTTGCTCCCCCGGCACTGCACATGGCGCCCCACACACTGCCAGGAGTGCTCCCCTGAGCACGTGCCAAGGGTAAGCACTGCCCTAACAATGTTGATCCAAAATCCCCTAGCTGACCTGGAGCACCCAGCCCGCAACTGGGTGCTGCTCCTGGGTGCTGCTCCTCAACCCCTGCTCCCCAAACACACTTAGTAAATATCTGTTTACCAAGGAATGAGTGAATCCCAGTTTTCAAGTCTCATAGCACCTTAGACTTCAATATCAATCCTAGGGGTAAACGGGCAGCATGCTGGCTTTGCTCACCGCTGACCCAAGATCAATCCCCAGCACCTCAAAGTCCCACAATCACTATCAGGTGCACTTCCTGAGCACAGACCCAGGGGGATCTGCAACTGCTGGAGATGGTCCAAACCCCGCTCCCCTCCAAGTAAATCAAAACCACATCCCAGCCTCTGTGTTCAACTCAAAAGGCTGCTTTAGGAAGCCTGACACTCTAGCTAACTCGTTCCTACATTCCCTTACAGTGACGGGGCTGTGGCCTGCCACAGACAGGCGGTGGGCAAACAGGCCTGAGAAGCAACCATGGTGCTTGACCCAAGTGGCTTTGTGGTACCCCAAGAAGGACAGGAAGGCCCCAGAGCCCAATTGGTGCTACATGTCACCCCAGACAAGATAGCTTAGAGGGCCCAAGTCCCACATACATCCCTTTCAAGCCAGAGTTGATTCAGACCAGACCAAGGCCAGTGTTGGTGGGGACCGGCCAGGCTGAAAAGGTGCCCACACAGTATAGTCAAGACAGAGTGGAAACAGCTCCTGGCTTCCTGGGGGGTGGGGGCGAGGGACACTGTCCAGAGGCTGTCCACACAGCAGGGGGAGCAGTGCTGGAGGGTGGGGTCTGTCCCAGTAGCAGACACCATAGGCGGCCCTGGCAAAGCTACTGGTGTCGCCTTCCAGGCCCTCTGACCATGGCCCAAGAAATGGGATGAGCCAGGGAGGTGGGAAGGAGAAGGGGGAGGGGGCGGGCAGAACTTTCCCACAGCAAGGGCCTGGGGCTTGGGGCTGGAGCCATAGCACGTTTGCCTTGCACGCAGTCGACCTGGGTTCAATTCTCAACATCTCATATGGTCCCCCAAGCACCACCAGGAGTAATTCCTGAGTGCAGAGCCAACAGTAACCCCTGAGCATTGCAGGGCGTGACCCAAAAAAGAAAGAAAGGAAAAACAAAAAAAAGAGCCTCGGGCTTCTCCGGTCACCCTGTGTTCTAGCTCTGGGTGATGGGAAGTGCCCCTGCAAAGCCAGCATGCATGGGGGAGGGCGTCCTGGTGAGAACCGCAAACATGCTGGTGACCCTCGCTACAGCCAGGTGAAGGGCTCTCACTCTTGGATTTCTGCCTCGGTCTCCCTCTGCATGCAGTCAGGCCCCGGGCCAGGCGGGAGGGGAGGGGCATATAAGGAAACAAGCCTTTTTGTAACTCTCCAGCAAGAATAAAATTCTCTGCAAGTAAAAAGTTACAAAGTAGTCAAACTTTAAAAAGCAAGTTGAACCACTGAACACAAAGTATCCTCACACACAGGTGGGGGTCCACCTGGGAAGACCCCAGGTCCCAGAGGAATATCTGGTGTCAGTAGACCTAGCCCGTCCCTTGTGAGACAAGAGAGACCCTGGGGGGTAGGGGGGGGGGATCTTCACAGGGCTAGGAGGGTCTCAGGCAGTCTCACCTACAAGGTTGCTCACTCACACTCACTCCACACCTCCCTCATCCCCCATCCAGCGCTTGCCAGCATTCTGGATAGGATTCACCGCCAAAGTGAGATGCAACAGGCAACGTCCCCCTGGATAGGGGACACTCGCCCACGGGCCCACGTCACTGCACTCAGGTGGAAATGAAGCTGAGCTGCCTGACTGCCTCATGCATCAAATCAGGGACCCCAGGCAAGAAATAAGGAGTCTGCGTGGCCTCCCAGGCCCCTCTCCGATGTCACCTGCCTCTGCCTGGGTTAACCCATCAAACACCCCACTCCCAGTCTGCCCCTCACTCTAGCTTCCCCATCTCAAAGTCTAGCCCAGGACCACCAGGCCTGTCCTGCCAATACACACACATGAACGCAAGGCAGCTTGGAGGGGGTTGCCCCTTCCCCAACTAGACAGGGAGCAGAGGGCAGGTTTAGGGTGGGGGGGGGGGGGGTCGTGGAGAGGGATCCCGGGTTCGGAGGCTGAGCGTTTCTGAGGAGCTAGGCCTTGCAAAGGATCCACGGGGCAGCACGCGCCCGGTCCCGCCATCAACTTTGGGCAGGCGCCAACTGGTGGGTGCACTGACCGCCGAGTGCTGGGCAAAGCCCCCGCAGTGCCAGACCAGGCCCGGCTGTGGAGGAGCGCCAGGTAGGAGGGTCTGCGGGCGACCCGGGGGGCCTCGGGGGTGTCGCTGCCCCACGCGTCCCAAGCCCGCGCCCACCGCACCGGGGTCCCGGTCCAGGCGTGGAGCAGCCGGCCGGAGGCCCGGCTACCTCCTGGCGCCCCGGCCCGGCACCGCGAGGGCAGAGGCACCGGCCCACCGACGGCCCGGAGCAGGGGCGCTGCCCCGTGGGGCGCTCAGGGACGCCCCGCGCGCACACGGCAGGTCCCCGGCGTGCCGGCGGGAGCCCGAGGCCCGAGGCCCCGAGCCACGGGAACCTGTTGGAGCGGTCGGGGCGCCGCAGCGGCTCCTCTTCCTGCTCGGGCACCGACTTCTGGGGGGCAGGGACCCGGCTTCGGAGAAGTCGGCGCGGGGCCAGGCAGGGCCACGCAGGGGCCGGGCTGCACCCCGTTCGCCGCCGCCCCGCGGACCGCGGCGGCGTCCCCGGACCCGGCGCGCTGGGGCTGTCGGGGGCGGGGGGCTCGCGCCGGCCTCGGCGGCGGCGGCCGACCGCGACCCCCCGCGCGCGCAGACCCCGTTGTCACCCGGGTCCCCCGGGCGCGCGGCGGGGCGGGGGGATCCCGAGCCCCGGCGGCGGCGGCGGGGCGGGGGGTGGCGCGCGGCGCCGCTGCCCGGGCCCCGCGTCCCCGTCCCCCACCCCCCACCCTCGGGCCCGGCCGGCCGAGCCCGCGCGGGGAAAGTTCCTGCAACTTCGCGGGGGCGGCGGCGGGGCCTGGGCCTCGGCGGCGGCGGCGGCCTGCGCGCGCGGCTGTCACGGCCCGGCCGCCCCGCACCGCCGCCTCCCGCCGGCCGCTTTGTGCGCGGCGGCCCGGGGGGCCCGGCGGCCCCCGGCGGGCACAAAAGGGCGCGGGGGCCGCGGCGGGCGCGGGCGGCCGCGCGGGGCCCGGCGCTCACCTGCCGTGGAACCAGTCCTTGCAGGCGTCGCACTCGATCATGAAGCGGGTCACGTCGTAGGGCAGCCGGCACACGCAGTACACGGGCACCGTCGCCATGTTCGCCCGCGCCCGCCGCGCCGCCGCGCCGCGCCGCCGCCGCCGCCCGCTCGCGCCGCTCGGGCCGGGCCGGGCCGGGCCGCGCGGGGGCCGGGCCGGGGCCGGGCGCGGGGACGGGGGCGCACGACCGCCCCGCGCGCACCCGGCCGGCGCGTCCACACAAAGCGGCCGCGCCGCGCCGCTGCGGGGGCCGCGCCGGGAGCCGCCCGCCGGCCCGGGGGCGAGGGCGCGAGTGTGCGCGAGGCCGGGCCGCGCGCGGGACACAAAAGGGAAAGGGACGCGCGGGGGCGGCGGGCGGGAGCCGCGGCCCCACCGAAGGGACCCCCGGCCGCCGAGCGGCCTCTACGTCAGCGCCCCGGGTGGCGCCGCCTCCGCCCCGCCGGCTCGGCCCGGCCGCCGCTCCCGCCGCGGAAGGCGGGCCGGGCCGCGGGGAGAGGCGGGCGAGCGCGGGCCCAGGTGGGTCGCGGGGACCCCGGGGCGGCGGGGGCCCGGGGAAGAATCGGAGGGGCGGGGGCGGTGCTGGGGGGGTCGGGAGGGACCGCCGCTCGGCCGGGAGACCCCCGGGCCCTGCAGGCGGGGGCTGGAGGTGGGCCCCGGGGAGCAGGTGGGGCAGGGCCCCCTGCCGAGAGCTGGGGCGAGGGGCACGCGAGGTCTTCGGGGAGGCGGTGGGCGAGGGGCTGGGGGCCCCCTCCCGGGTGCAGCGGGAGCCGCGAGCCCCCTTGGAGGACCTTTCGTCCTCTTCGAGAAGGTGGAGGAGCAGCAAGGCTGGGCCTGAACTTTCTTCTCGCCCAGATTTCTGGGCGGGAGCAGCGAGGGCCCCCCGCTGTTCTTGCTCCCCCACCCCCAAACTCAGTTTCTGCCTAGAGCCCGGCTGGCCAGCGCCCCTTCCCGTGCTGGGTCTTGGGACTCCTGGGCTCAGATCCCAGAAGGAGACAGAATTGGGGAAACCCAAGGGCGCCGGTGGCAGGGCTCAGCTCTGCAAAGAGTTCATCAGCTGGAATGCGCGCCACCCTGCACCCCTGCTCGGAGCCACCAGCCCCCCCCCGCCCCCCCAAGGAGCAGGACAGCCGCTGGTTTCCTGAGTGTCCCTCGTTGCCAGGGTGCAGGACCTCAGCCTGGAGCATGGGCAGTGCTGCTGGGTCCTGTGCCTCTGCCCTGAGTGGCCCCCATTTCACTGGGCAGCCAGGGTCTCTGGGACTAACACCATTTTTGCTCTGGGCTCCCTATAACATCCCTCCAGGCTACAAACACCCCCAGGGCAGAGGGTTCTAAAGGCGAGAAAGGTCTACATATGCCCTCACTGTCCACCCACCTTCTTGCAGACGTGTCCACGAGGTTCTTAGGGTGCCAGCACCAGAACAGGCCAGTCCCCTCCACCTCAATCTCACAGGCCCATCACAGCCAATGCCCCAAGGGCCACTTATCACACCATCACACCTGTGAGCAGCTCTGTCAAGTCTGAAGCTGTTCCCCGCCCCCCTCCCCAAGTTCATTGTCCTCTCCAAGGGGCAGACTTTAGCTGGAAGAACCAGCTCATGGAAGCTGAGAGCGGTACAGGCAGCTGGATGGGCTGGGGAGAGTGTTTGGGGTCTGGTAGTGGCATCCGCACATTCTCTGAGCTTCACAGGGGCAGCCCCTGTGATCCCTGAGTCGGTCCCTGGGCCCTGAGCAGCACTGCATACTCAGGTCCTTGTCTTAAACCCTCCGGCCCAGTTGACCAAGGATTGGAGACCCTGGGCTCTCTGAGCACTGCTCAGGAGACACCCCTTACCCCAATCAAAAAAAAAAAAAAAAAGGAATGGGAGCCAGGAGATAGCACAAGTGGTGGAACACATAACAAGCGTATGTAGGGCCCTGAGTTCGATCCCACACTATATGCCCTGAGAGCACTGTTGGCTGTGGGCCTGGGGTCCAAGCCCTGAAGATCCAATCTCTGCCCCACCCCAGTACCTATGGGTGTGTCCATGTCCTATGTACACATACAAAGCTGAGGAGAGGGGGCTGGAGCAATAGCACAGCGGGTAGGGCATTTGCCTTGCACGTGGCTGATTCAGGTTCGATTCCCAGCATCCCATATGGTCCCCGAGCACCGATAGGAGTAACTCCTGAGTGCAGAGCCAGGAGGAACCCCTGTGCATCACCCGGTGTGACCCAAAAAAAAAAAAAAAAAAAGAAAAAAAAAGCTGAGGAGAACAGAGCATTTCCTACCACCTCACACCTATGAACCCGTAAATTCCAGAATTCCTGGTCGACTCCCTGCCAGATGACAGTGAGGTACAGCTGACAGGAAGGGAGGGGCCTGGTCACCTTCCTACACTGGTCCTGAATCTAAGCAGGCCAACAGTGCTCCCTGTGGGTTCCTCTGTGGCTGAACTCACCGCCAGGAGGTGATGCACTCACATCACCAACCTTCTGCCTCCCAGAAACTTCTGGAAGCCCCTGTGGTAGAGGGAAGCAGCCCTGAGGTGAGGCAGCCTCCTCCTGAGCCTCCAGTATTTCCTTTTTTTTTCCCAAAAAAATTGGGGGGTCTCTCTCAGGGAAGGGTATCACATTGGTGATTCTCAGGAGTTACTCCTGGCTCTGCATTCAGGGATCACTCCTGGTGGTGCTCAGGGGTTCCAAATGGGATGTTGGGGATTGAACCCGGGTCAGCCGCGTGCAAGGCAAATGCCCTCCCTGCTGTCCTGTAGCTCCTGCCCTGTGTTTCCTTCTTTTACAGACAAGATCCTGGTGACTTGACACCCATGATTCTGAATTCTGTGCCTCAGAAAACACAGCTGATACCCCGAGTGCCTGGATAGACTCAGCAGCACGTACACCTTAGGGGCTCTGCTTCACATTAGGCATGAGCAGGCAGCTATGTGGGTGCTATGTGCATCTTGTAGGCTGACTTAGGTAGCAGAGCCGGGCGGCAGTCCTGTCCTTCGCGGAGTGGCCGCAGATCAGTGACAGGAAAGCTCATTCAGGGAGCCCAGACACCTCCGGCCCGAGCCTGGGCTGCCCCACTGCCCACCCTCACACACCACACACACACACACACACACACACACACACACACACACACACACACTCTTCACTCCCTGCCCTCTGAACCCTCCTGTTCACAACTGCCCTGTCTTCTGCCTCAGGAGGCTCTGTGGCAGGGACTTCACTGTCATTCCCTGGGTCGCCCACCACCAGGAGCCAGAATCCTTCCTGGTTGGCTTCTCCCCATGCCCTCCCTGGGCATGCCTCCTTTGTCTACCAAACTGTCCTGAGTGCCCGCTGCATGTGGCATAGATCAGGGACTCATACAGAGCACCCAGTGCCTGAGGGAAGTGGAGGTGAGTGTACAGTGACAGTGTCCCTGACAGGATGGGTGCAGAAATCTATTGGGAGCTGGCTGCTTGGAAGGGAGGGTCCCTGAGCACCGGAACCTCGATGGGAAGGACCCAGAAAGCGGCTAATAGTTTCAGGGTTCTGGGTGTCCTTGCCACCCAGACATCCTGCTGCCTGCCAGTTCCTGGTTCTCTACCTTTTTCCTTAGCACCTGCTGACCCAAGTTCTGTGTGGGCACACAGTCATATCCTCATGGCCTGATATTCTGCCTCTGTAATTGGCCCTCCAAGGCACATGTGTGACACCCCTCCACTCTCCTGCAGTCACAAAGTACAGCACTACATAGCATCCCAGGGCAAAGGAGAGAAGGTCAAGAAAAGTTCTAGGGGTTGGAGTGATAACACAGTGGGCAGGACATTTGCCCATTTGCCTTGCACATGGCTGATCCGAGTTCGATTCCCAGCATCCCATCTGGTCCCCCGAGCCCCGCCAGGAGTAATTCCTCAGTGCCATCCAGGAGTAACGCCTGTGCATCGCTGGGTGTGACTCAAAAAGAAAAAAATAAATAAATAAATAATCCTACCAGGTAGGGTGTTTGCCTTGCATGCGGCCAACCCGGCCAACTCAAGTTCAATTCCTCTGCCCCTCTCAGAGAGCCTGGCAAGCTACCGAGAGTATCACTCTTGCACGACAAAGCCTGGCAAGCTACCCATGACATATTCGATATGCCAAACACAGTAACAAGTCTCACAATGGTGACATTACTGGGCCCGCTTGAACAAATTGATGAACAATGGGAGGACAGTGCTGGACAGTGCTGCACCCAAAAAAAATTAAAAAAATAAAAGATGAGTTCTATTCATCCAAGGGTTACCAAAAGGGGAGACAGTGTGAGCTGATGCATGTTTATTCCCTCGTTCACCAAAGTGGGCCGTGAGCATGTGCTGGCTCCTGTACTATCCGATTGCACATCATGTCCACCATTCAGCCACTTTTCCAGTGGACAGTATGAATGCATTGAGACCATTCAATCTTCATCTATGTCTTACAGAACTGAAACTCTGTCCCCATAAATTAAGCCCCAAGCACTTGCTCTAGATCCCACAGTCACCTCCTCTCCCCATGCACCTAGGACCCGCATATAAGCGGAACATGGAGGGTTTCTCCTTTTGAAAGAGACTGACTTCACTTGGCATGATATCCTCAAGGTCATCCAGGTGGTAACAGGTATCAGTGGTCCCTGAGTAACATTTCACTGCATACATCCATTCCACGTTGAGTTTATCCTTCAGTTTTAGACACTTGGATGCCATCCACCCTTTTTAGCAGCTGTGAATTGTGCTACTACGCACCAGGACATGCAAGTGTCTCTTTAAGTCCCTGTTTTGGTCCTGTTTATGTGGTTCAATCAAGTGGTGGTTCTATTTTTATCTTTTTTGGAGAAGAACATTATTGTCCATAGAGCTCCCATGGCACAGTCTCGCCAACAGTGCACAGGGTTCTGATTCTCCCCATCCACATTCTCATCCATATGTATTAGGTACTGGTTTTATCTGGTTTTGATGTCAGGGTTTTACCAACCTCATGGTACAAGGCAGGAAGCATTTCTGCCTCACTAACATTTGGGAAGGTGTTAAGAAGGATGGATGGGGGCTGGAATGATAGCACAGTGGGTAGGGCATTTGCCTTGCACGCAGCCCGACCCCAGTTCAATTCCCAGCATCCCATATGGTCCCCCGA